ACCCTAATATTTAATTTAATTTCAAAATACATTTAAACTTATCTCCTACGACAAGTTTAACTTGTCGCTCTTTCATTCATTTTCATCAGATCTCTCTGAGACATTTGAAGGATCACGAGTAGCTGAAGTATATTTAATTGAAAGTTCTATAATGCATCGTATCAAAGAGTTTAATTTCAATGCTTCCACCATTTTATTGGATGTCATTGAACATAATGTGATTGCAGACAAAGCTAATCAATTTAAGAAAATGGTATACCTTGTTCTGATTTCGATGGGCCTATCTTACCTGAGTTTGCGATATTGGCTATAATATTGTTCGGTCCCTTGCAAGTCCATGGCTATTATGAAAATAAGTTGTGTGTTTAATAATCGTTTTGACAAGTCCTATTGAAAGATTAGGTGACTTCCAATCATTCTACAGGTAAACACCATTCCATTTTGTTTAAATAACAAAATTGAAAATTAGGATTTTTTTAGAAGTTACAAAATTAAAAGTGTGATACAAGATTTGGATTCCTGTTTCAGAATTAAAAAGGAAATGTCATATGCTCAAAGCCGATCAGAGTCGAAATGGCAAAGTTATTATAGCCTCCAAAGGGGTAAATGTATGCAAAAACGACCAAATTGTCAATTAGGTGGACAATAACTCTGCCATTTCGATTCCGATCGTCTTGGAGCATAAAACATTTTCGTTTTCTTTTGTCAAGATGAACTCGGAACAATAGTTACCTTTTTACATTTCTCCCGAACCACTACCCCCTTCCCCCCTCCAACTGACGTAAGTAAACACGTAAACCATTCGAAATATCACTTTCGTTTCTTCTCACCGGACACTCGCGAAACTTCGTTGGTAGAGTTCCGCAACTCTAAAACTTAAAATATAACACTCTGTTTGACAATCTGACATTTTGATCACTTGTGAGAGAGTAAGAAAGTCTCGAAGTGGCGCAGGAGGGGCATTACGGAGCTCCCTCACTACGGTTCGCCTGCGCCTTCTAAACGCCCTGAAACAGGGTGAGGGGGGTAGAGGGGGGCAATTAGAAGGCGCAGGCGAATCGCAGTCAGGGAGCTCCGTAATCCCCCTCCAGACAGCGTTCGGGCGTTCGGGCATGCTATGGGAGCAGGGGTGGCCCTCACTCAGGTTAGCCAACGTAACAAAAAAAAGCCGCTGCTTTTCAAATTGAAAAGTTAAATATTTAAACTCAAACCGTTACGAACAAAAAGCTCCCACTTGTTTTTCCTTGTATTATAGATGTTTAGTCAAACTCACATTCCGTCCATGGACAAGCCGTTTTCCAGAAAAAGTGGAACGTAAACACAGACAGACAGACAGACTCACGACGGAGACATCGCCTGACCCCTCATTGACTTGGACTGAGCTTCGCTCAGCGATGAATATTAAGACATAGTAAATTTCTGGGAAGGGGAATTTTCTTTGGGCCGAGACTTGTGAAAAAGAATTGTTTGTGATGCCGCACGACACGCCTGAACCATATTTCGCTCATTTCGCTTCTTTTGTTTACCTTAATTTCTGATTCTAATTTCTCAGCTCTAGTAAACGTTCCCGGCGCGACACGACGCTCTGGGCTGGGCAGGCCGCCGTGCTCACTCAGCCGCTCGGCGGGCTGGCCTACCCAGCGCGCAGCAGGCGCTATCGACGCTATCATCAGCATTGCCTCGTGAGGCGTCGTGGTGGGTGACGGCGAGGAACACGGCCGGGCGCATCAGGAGTCGCGACCGGCACCGTCCTGGCGCTATGTCTTCTAGGAGGTTACCACGCCGGCGGCCTTACTCCCTCCTGCCACAGGGTGTCCCATTCAAACAGAGGAACTTTCCCGCTACAAGTTTAATATCAGAGACATTGCTGGAGGCTGTCGCCTCAAGTCGGCTCTCCGACGCGCATCTTCGGGTCGAGTCTACAGAGTCAAGAAACACGGCCCAGTAGTCACTCTATCATAGCGATGATATGAATTCAAACCAGCGGCGCGAAAATCGCACCTTGTATCGGACACCCTCTGTTTTTGACGCCAGATGTCTGCACGGAAATAACTGCTCCCATGAAAAGCGTACATAGCTGTTGCACGCATTGCACGCTACGCCACCCTCTACGCTCTCGACATCACTCGTGCACGACTTCTGCACGACTCCTGCACGACTCTGATCACGTCCCCGCCACGCCCCACCCCAACCCGTCCCACCCC